TGAGGATGATTTTCCTAGTCAACGAGGGTTGTTCTATTAGGTTACTTTAGCTGTGGTCTGAGAATTATTTTTTGCGCTCTGAGCCACACATAAGAAATTGAATGTAACCTTTAGATTATAGATATGAGATAGTGTTATTTAAATTCAAGCTGTTTCTGTTGATTTTGTTTTGTTTCTGTATATGTCGTGAAAAATGTCTCTAAAAGCACTTTCAGGAAAATATTCAGCATCACCAAACATGATCATCCAAAGTGACATCATCATCAAAAGAGCTAGGCTGCTGAACAGAAGTTACTGATTTTATGTAAGGTATCCAGGTTTTTCAGAGTGTCACCATTTTGAGTAACTGAATAATATAACTGAAATGCATAAGATAAAGCAGAATCTTGCATACACTTCTTGGAACCTACTATACTTCTCCCATAATAAACTTACTTTCATTATAATGGTCTGCTACGGTAGGCTTAATTTTTCTCATACAACATCCTGTTCCTAGCTATTCTTAGCTCCTCTCCAGGAATACATGTTGTTAGTTTATTTTATTCACTAGAACACCCAGTCACGCTAACTCTGCTGTAGCACAAGTTTTGTTGCAATGTCAAGAGATAACTTTTTTATCTGGCTGAAATCTTAAATACAAAGAGGAAAATGATATCCCATTTAAGTGTTGGTCAAGGCTGAAAGCTTTAATTAAAAAAAAAGGTTTACAGTAGTTATTCAAGCATCAATTTCTTCCTCAGCTCTGCTAAACTGGCTGCCACCTTACTTAAAAGATTCATCCTTTCATATATCCTTCGTATAGTCTCTACTCAGAAATGTCTTGGTCAGTAGCTACTAAAATTCTCCAGGTTTTGATTCCTTAACACGAGAAGTGTTTAACGATGTTTGACGGGTATTGACCTACCTAAGGAAATGGTTTATAATTATAAATGATGACTGGAGGAGCACATCCTCTACAAATAACCACTGCATTTCTTTGTTTTCCTCATTCAAAAAATAAAGAAAGAAAAATCCACATTGTTAACAGTAGAGACAATAAAACAGAGGAGACCTTAAATTCCTTTGCATTTAGAGCAAATCTGCCTTACAACATGTTTCAAATCATGTGCTCTCTGATATCACAGATTCAGTCAATTCCAAACCCCACAGTAAAGATATTCTGAGTCTCACTGGGAATGAGACATCTTGTAGAAATTATCGTATAGCATACCAGATGGCATCTTTCTTGCAGACATCACTTCAATGTGCTTCCTCTATTGCCTTGGAGAAGAAAGAACCAAATATTGCTTTCCCTGTAAGAGACTTATGCGCTGGTTTTCCCATGCGGGAATAGGTACATCTTTCTTTGATTGTGGCATCTCAGAAGGATTATCATGGGATTTATGTTCTTTGAAATCATCGGAAAGCACAGTAGTATGTAAATGCTTTGCAGGTGAGACCATCTCATACAGGCTAAATGACATTTTTCAATGTCAGGACCAGCTTTAGACATAGGCAAAATAGGCCTTGCCTGCAGCAGTACACTGGTGGGGCTGGCACTGCGTCATAGACTAGCAAAATGAAGAGACAGCCTTCTAGTCTCAAACCAATAGCACCTGCTCCAGATTCCACTTGCACTGGCTCAGAAAAGCTGTCCTAGCAGCCCCACTAAGACAAGTCTCCTGGACTGACAAAAGAACAAGTAGATCTAAAGAGCTGCACGTTCCCATAATGAAAGACTTAACCCTAATCCCCACATTCCTGGCCCTGCTCTGTGCCTTCCTTTGCCTTTGCCTTACTACTACTACCTTTTGCAGGGGGAGCAGGGAAAAAATGCCTTGCAGATAACAGGATACTCTGGCAATGAGACGATAGTCAGGGATGAGGACAAGGCAACAAGCTGACTGTGTTTCTCCTGATTTTCTTTCCCCTTGCTGAGCAACCTTATGTTGTGCTGATGGGGTCAGACATGTAGTTACACTGGCAGGGGACAGAGTTGGAGGAGAGTGCGCAGTGGGACCAGCTCTGCTATAATCATGCAGTGCTGGGGCCATGGAGATAGTTCAACACAGTACCAACAGCTACATGAGGAAATGTGTCTGGGGAGCTACTCAAAAACTGAATTTTGCCTACACTGTTGCTAGGCATTGAGCCAAGCACTTCTCATCACTGGCAGCATAACTTCCATGCTGTTTATAGCAAGGTAAAGAAGAAGCAGTTTAGCCACAAAACTGGTGTACTGACTATTGGCTGTGCCTTATTCTGGGCAGAACACTTTTGTTGATGGGGGACATGAGCTGCAGATACATTTGTGTCTATGCATGTACAGGAAATACAGGAGTCAATCATGCATGATCCTTTCAAAGGGTGGGATTATGCTTCAATAGATCTCTTTCTGATACCGTTTTTTTCTGCTTATGGGAGAAAGAAGACGACAAAGGAATCCTTTTTGAAGGAATTAATGATTTATCAGTCAACTAAGAAAGCTTCAGCAAAGATATAGTTCTCATCTTGTTTAGGATAGTTTTGATTTCAATTTGTTCTCTGAAGAGCTTTCCTAGCCTTTCAAACTTTCTCACCTAAGGGAGGTCCACAACATAGCCTACTCTCCTCGTTACAGCCTTGCTACTGATGGGGCACAACCCTTAAGGGATTATGCTTCATCTGTTTATAGATGTTAATTCACAGTAGAAAAAAACTCTACAAAACAGGGAATGTATTAGGGAAATAGGTAAGATATAGACAGGTGTGAACAAATACATTTGTATCTCCATGAGACGTAGATTCCTATAAATTTGGTGTATCTACTTTCTCTGAAAGAAAACGAATTATCCCTTAATGTGTTTGAAATATGTTTAGCTGTTTGTGCACGCTGTACTTTTACCAAAAATATATGCTCTATATTGCATATATTCACATGCTATTGTTACTAAATACTTGAGAACACTCCTCAAAGTTTCTTCAGCAATTAGAGATTTACCAGCACCTGATGAGTCTTCAGTACTTTTTTGAGAGATGTAATGAATCTTTCATACTTCATGTAGCAATGTATCAAATTAGTAATGAGACGTGGAGTAATGTAAGATCTCATAACAGGCCTGTTTTAGGCAACGTTCCAACCTCCTGAAAGATCTTCTGTGGCTCAACTAAAATTATTCTGCAAAATTATTATGGACTTCAGTTTCCATGAGATGTTCCATACATCCAAACAGCCATATCAGGGTGAAAGACCATCCAGATTTAGTTCAAGGACTAGTCAGGTTGGAGTCGACATTCTTATAATATTGTTAATTTTAATTATCCAGCTAAGTTCAGAGTCTGCTCTGCAACTGCTTAGGCAGCCTCTGCATGTCACTTGTGGAGACTTTGTATTATAGCGTGTCGGTCAGACTGTAGGTCTGGATTCCTAATAAACAGTTTTCTGCCATAGTATCATCAATCCCAAATGATGCCCTTGACAGATGTCTGTAATTTCCTTATGCCTGAAATTAAATTCCTCCTTAGAGTAGGTCACTGCTTGAGATTCACAGTGGACAAGAAAAAAAAAGAAAAGTAATAAATATGTTCAGTAAATGAAGTTCTACTGGACAAGATTCTTTTTAGAATTGTACTCTGAATACACACATATTCTACCTTTTTTGCTAAGTCCTTTGATCCTCTTATGAAAAACAAAAGTTTAGTAAACATTCGTCTCAGAGTAAAGGTGTAAAATGTTTCCATCTAGAGAGAAACTGTCTCAAAAATGGAGCACCGTTGTAAAATACATCATGAGATATTTGGCTTCTTGTGCAGAAAATGAACTTTGCTCTTTGCTTTCATTTTACATTCATCATCTTTCATTAAGTTTTCTCCAGTTATAGTTGATAAAGTATACAGCCTTTCTAGAAATCATGCAGATCTTGTATGTCTGCCTGCATTCATTCACATATTTGTAAGAAAAGGATGTAAATTTGGAATTTTATTTAGTAAAAATATTCTTTTAACTATTCATTTGAAATGGTGACCTTTTCGAGTTGAATGATTAAATGTTGGCATGAAGGTTTTCTGGTGTCTTACAATATTTTACGGTTGAAGAAATCATGCAGAAAATCTAATTACTTTGACTAAAATTGTTGTGCTGTTTATGTCTTTTGCTGTACTACAGGAGAGAAACTGTGAAATGTATTCATTATCGATTCATTAAAGGTTTTTGCTATTATATAAGCAGAAAGGCAGACCACTTGTATTAAAAGGGGAAAGGTGAAGGCATAGTAAACCATGCTATAGGCTATGGTTTATGTATTGCATTTCTTAATGTCTTGTGAAACGTAAAAATCTACAACAAATAGATATGTAAAGCGTAACTGATATGAAGATTCTATTCAGATTTAAGTGCTCTAGGTTGCTTTTGAGTCTTGCTATTTTCTGCATTTGTTTTGACTGCTCTCATCATTCAAGATTGACGCTTCGATGGGTGTGTAGGAGGAAGCAGCAGCAGCAGGCTTACAGCTTGCAGACAAAAAAAAAATCTGCCTTATCTGATGGCTATTATTGAAAATGCGAGGTGTAGCCTAGGCTGGGTAATGAAGGGGAGAGAGCGAGGGGGAGCAAGAAGCATGGAGCTGCATACTGATGAGTGTAGGAGTACTTGATAAAAAGAATTCTTGCTGCTGGCAGTGCATTGCTCATTGTGGAGTATTCCAACAATCACGTAGAACAGAGAACAGTTTAGCTGACAGCTTGATATGCTTTTTTTTTTTTTTCTTCCTACTGTATGACGTACTGGTCTGTAGTAAAGATTAATAACTAAGAAATGTAGAGCTAGGAGCAGATCTTACGCTATATACTGCCCTGTAAACTATGTTTTACTTCTGACTTTTCTGCTTGCTGAAAACATTAATCTGTCAAGCTGGCGGGCTCCTTTGATACCAACTTTCCCAGGAACACGATGTGGCAATGCCACCTCTCAGCCCAGGACTACCGCTATTATCCAGTGGATGGTTATTCCTTGCTTAAACGCCTCCCTCTTCACCCTCCTACAGGACCCCGATGCCCTGTCCAGACAGTGGGACAATGGTTGGAAAATATTGGGCTACCTCAGTATGAAAACCACTTGCTGGCTAATGGATTTGACAATGTGCAATTTATGGTAAGAAATCTTCTGTGCATAGCTGTGTATATACACTGTAGCTGCCTTTTTTATCTGTCTCTTCTGTGCTCATAAAAACCTTAGAGCTATTCTGCATTGCACTAAGAAGATCTGTTTAGTGTTTCACTTCTGCATGTCTAGCTAAATTAATGTATAAACTGTCCTTGTATAAACTTCCAAATTGTACGTGTTACAAAATATTCTAGCCAGAAATATGGTAAAAGAAAAACTGACTATTAAGGTTCTCTCTCCCCCTCATCAGTCTTCAGATTAAAAAAGAAAAATGCACAGTTCTTTTAATCCATTGCAGGATTTTCACAGTATGTAAAAGCTGTGAACACCCCTGTCTGCAATACACCACATTATTATTTTTATTTAAATATTAATATGATTGTAATAATAGTTAAATAATGTGCAATGCCAGTCTTGCATTGAGAGGTGTTTTAATACCAGAAAATTATTTATAGAAGTGTGCTCTCTCTGTGAGTGATTCTGCATGCCTCAGTTAAATGTTTTTGCATCTCAGATAATCAGGCTGTGGGATTCACTTGTTGAAACTCATGTCCTGTGTGGAAAAGTAATGCATTGCTTTTAATGGTTCAGTTTTGATGTTTTAACTCTAGGCATTTATCAGGAACATATGAATGAAATAAAATTTCATGTACTTCGGAATTTACAGTATTACCATGTGGTGTAAAGTAACATAGACCTGTCATGCACAAACTTCCAGCTGAAATTAATATTGACAGTAAAGAGAGAAGCTTACTTGTAAGGTTGTTATATTATCACTTTTCTGCATGCTTTAATATTCCTATTATTTGAACCTCTTGCAAAAATCCTGACCATATGTTCTCACTTTTCAATAACTTACAGCAGGCAGATAAGAAACAGAAGTGGAATGGCATGAATATTATGACCATAAAATCATCACATGAATTGGTTTTTTCCAATTTAATTTCTTTTGCCAACATCATTATATGCCTATGGATTACTGATCAGAAAATTAAGACACAGATCTCTGCCGTTTCCACATTATAATAATGTAGAGGTATCTTACTGTTTTTACATGGCTGCCATGTGATCTTTTGCTTATATCAGTAAAAATCATCAGAATCTTTACCTTTAAATATTCTTGAAAACAAAGCAGCAAGGGTGTGCTGTCAGCCCAGCAATGTGAAAAAAAAAAAATCCAAAAGCGTTTCAAGCTACAGTTTCCCAAAATGTAACCACGTATTGTTATATATATGTTGTAGCATTAGTTACATAAGTAGATGATTGTTTGTCTTGAAGAGATTACGGAGGGAAATTGTTCACAAGAGGCTGTAGGTGGCATAACAAATGCAGAGAGGGACACCTACCACAGGTAGATGACGAGCACCGGAGAAGCCAAAGAAACTGCCCTGAAGGGCTTTCCAGTCATCCCCTGGCTCTGGAGGGGCCTGAACCACGTTGTGGGAGAATCTATAAGGCTTTCATTTCCTACGTCTCTTATTAGTATAATTAAGTAAACATAAAAATTATATACAAGATTCTATTATTCAATACGCAAATCAAACTTTTCAGGTATCAGGCAGATAAAGTTATGCCTGCATACTTGTGTGTTAGCTAATGTTTTCCGGTCATTTTAATTTAAGCCTTTTTCTGAAGTGTTTTTTTTTTAAATATGTATCGCAGCTAAAATACATAGTTACTCTTAATATTAATTGGGGTAGCATGCATGTGTGAAGAGAAGATTAGACTCTTAAATCCAATGATAAGCAAAAAGCTGGAAAATTGCCTAGTAATAAAAAATATATAATTTCAATAACTTAATAATTCCTAATCTATTGATTTCACACTGTTCATCACGCTGTTACATATTTCAGTTTTTGTTTGTACCAGAAATTGAATAGTTCCCATATTTTATTGGAAATTAAAATGATCAGAAATCACCAATTTCTTTATATATTGTTCTTTCGAATGTATCAGCATTATGTGAGGAAAGCCTCTACTGAAAATTTAAATGAGTGTTTTTTAAAATGTTTTCCATTCTAGACAAAATGTTAATGAGAAAATTAAACTTGGAAAGTGTATAGGAAAATGAGAGAAGAAAGACCTGCTATGCTAAGAGAAAAATTCCGATTACTCCAAACTTAAATGTGTTGTAGTCTTCCTTAATATGAGAGAACCCATTTACATATTAACCTATATTTCATAAGCTTGTTAAATTAACTGTTTCAGGCAGGTTAGCTACCTTGCATAGAACAACTCTTATACTTCAATGCAGTAAAAATCAGTTAGACATATTTGTTCTTTATTCTGTACTGTAATCCTGCTTTTGTTTTTCTGGAAGCACATTCTGACCTGCATTTATTCATTCTGTTGCCTAAGCAACAACCATCACACTCCTATTAAGTATGATTTAGTAGTACAGGTCTTACTAGATGTTCAGAACAGAAGAGATATCTGAACATATCTGAGATATCTATATCATTGATATGATATATCAATATCAATGATATAGTTAATGTCCATGGAATAACATACATCTGAGTAGAAAATATATCCTATTTGTACTACTCGCAACAGCAAAATTCTATTAATTAAATTAGCATTCTAATAACAAGGTGTTTTTCAGATAACAAGATTTTATGGCTAATCATTCATTAGATCATAGATATTAACTCTGTGTTTAGTCCCCCTTGGGCATTAGGAAAGTTGTTCACTAGACTGTGCTTAGAGTTAGGAAGATTTGTTTATGTTAGCTGAAGTGTGTGGACATTATAGTAAGAAACAGCCTGTTTCCTATTAACTTTACAGTATGAATATTTTTTCCATAGTTCATCAATATATATGTTTTTAAAATAGGTTGAAACATAGTATTAAAAAATTAGTTCTTATAGTACTTTATTCCTACTTACAACATATTTACACACACAGCAAGTGCAATTCCTACCTACTATTAGTGTCATGCGGGAATGACACTTGCATAATAGTAGGCCCAAGGCAGGTTCAGTCCTAAGACTTGATTCATGTGTGCTTGTAGGGGTAGAGTCATACTTGAATACGTGTGTGTGTGTATATATATATGCAGTCATTATTAACTTCGACAAATTGTTGTGTAATAGGCTGCAGTGTGTTTCAGGTGTAAAAATTTGTAGTGACTTTGTGCAGAGATACTCTATATTTGAAGATGCAGCTGATACTGCAGTTTCATAGTCAAAGCTATTTTGCAGTTAAACTAATTCTGAAGTGCAAGAAAACAATTAGATCAAATGTAAATTGCAGTATATGAACTGCATATAAACAATAAGAAAACTTAATGAATTCGTGAACACCTTTTGATGCATACGTCCCACAGATATCCCTGGGACAAGCTATAATCTTCATGCAGACTTTCAGGCCTGCAGAACTCAAACATACAAACATGCGAGGTCACTGGATCCTTGCATGAAGCTTTCTGCAACTCTGGAGCTTCATCAAAGACTCCATTCTGGATTCACAGAAATAAAAGCAGTTCAATCAAATCACTGCCCAGTAGGGACTAGTTCTGACTAAGGACTGCGTATGACTATCTATTTATAGGTTGTTCTAATAGTTTACGGTATTCTGAAATTTTATCACTTGCTTAATATTGCAGTTTGATGAAGATAATACCTCTTAAAAAGATTTATAAAACACTGTATGAAAGAGACAGGGACCAGGCAACCAAAATGTGTTAACAAAAAAATATGAAGCATTTTATTATATTTTTGGACATTCTAAAATATTATTTACTAGTAACAGTTAATAACCTGAAGTGGCATTAGACACTAGACTTTTCATTGCTGCTGTGAACTTACAGGCATGCACCTCTACCCCTTCAAGTACTTAAATGGCTTGCAATGTCTGACAAACTAATTATTGCCTAAATATTTTTTAAAATTATCTTTTTCACTGTTGGGAAACTGAGGCATAGAGTGACTGCAGGATGAAATTTAAAACTGGTTATACATTTGAGATAAGAGGCACTAGTTCTTAACATAGCTACTAACAAAATGCTTAGCAGATTGACTCAGTTGCTTAAACTTAGATATCTAGTACCAACTGAGATACTGTAGAGAATCCAGGAGATCCAGACAGGGCTGACAGATATTGCTGAGGACCAGAGACCACCAGACCCTTCATGATTCCAGGTAGGATACCACTGAGAATCTCTAGAGTTCTGATGCTTATGCAGCTGAAATGAATCTTAAATGTTGTAGGTCACACAGAGCTTGTGACGTGTATGAACTGAATATAGATGTCCTGAGTTTCCACCTAGTTTCCTAGTTCTGTGAACTTACCTACATAAGTATTTACCTGGTTTCACAGTGCTAGGCATGGACTACCTTCTCAGTTCCCCTTAGCTGCCTGTTTTGGATTTAGTTTTGAGTTAAGTTTTGACTTTTCTTTCTCCCTTTCTCTCTTGCTTTCTTTCTTTGTTTCTTTTCTTTCATTTTATACTAGGTCTGGAGGTTTATTAGTCAGCTGAAGTTTATCTGGAGACTCTGCTCTCTCAGGTGTCATTCCTGGGATTTGCTGTCCTGGAATACCCAGTAACTCTTCTTGCCTTTAATCTCTCTGGAGTATCTTAAACTCTGTATCAAGTATAAAGGACAGAAGCAATTTTATTTCTTTAGAGTGAAATGCATCTGAAAAATTCTCGGTGTGCACTGGCTTCAAGTCCTGCATTTGTAAAGACCACCGCAGCTTTTATCCAAAAATACCTGGTGTAGAGATTGATGATTTGGGCATTAGATGAAAGCTTGAAAGAGTGAGTCAGTCTGCCAACACCTTTCTTAAATTAGCCATGCTGCAGATGATGAAAAAGAGGACAGTGTTTGACAAGGGTTCTACTCTGTAGTGACTTTAGTGACTTTCAGAAGCCAACTCCTAACATGCTTGGGAGAGCAGATCAACCTTTGCAACATCCAGGCTCTGAGCTCTCCAGGCCCATAATGGATTCTGCAGAGACTCATCAGAGCACTCATGCATTGTCT